TGGTCAGGCCTAGGAAGCTGCGAAGCTGCTTGGCAGATGTGGGGGCGGGCCACTCCGCAATAGCAGTGATCTTCGCGTCGTCCATGTGGAGACCCTGGTCAGACACGTAGTGTCCTAAGAAATYCACTTTGTGCTGGGCAAAGCGGCACTTTCTCAGCTTGGCGTAGAAGCCATATCTGCGCAAGTGATCAAGGACGTCGTGGAGGTGTCTGAGGTGCTCCTCAAGGGTACGACTGTAGACCAGGATATCGTGGAGGTAGATGAGAACGTATTGCTCCAGGATGTCCCTGAAGATGTCGTTCATCGACCTCTGGAAGGTGGCGGGTGCATTGGTGAGGCCGAATGGCATCACCGTAAACTCGTAGTGGCCAAAGCGCGATCGGAACGCTGTCTTCGGCTGGTCGGCTGCAGCGACGCGGATCTGATGGTAACCGCTACGAAGATCAATCTTCGTAAAGAAGCGGTTGCCTGCTAGGCGGTCGAACAACTCATTGGGACGAGGCATGGGGTAGCTGTTCTTAACCGTGTAGCGGTTGAGACCGCGATAGTCGATGCAGAGACGGAGAGTTCCATCCGCTTTGCGAGCAAAGAGGACGGGTGCACCCCACGGGGAGTTGCTGGGTTTAATGAAACCCAATCTCAGGAGCTCCTCAAGTTGACGCTTGAGTTCGGTGGCCTCCGGAATCGAGAGTCTGTAGGGTGCCTGGTTGTGAACACGATAGTTAGGCACAAGTTGAATGGAGTGCTCGACGTCACGCATCGGTGGGATGCCGGCGTACGAGAACGACGATGGAAAAACGCCGTGGTACTCGCGGATGAGGTCACGAACTGCGGGCTCCAGGTCAGCCGTATATCGTGCGAGTTCCTCAGCGTCATCGTCAGCGCCCGACGGCGGGGTGGACTCGACGAACGGTGGAGGGACGAAAGTAGAGATGGGAGCCATGGAGATAGAGGGAGGATCTGACTCCAGAGGGATGAGCTCGGCGTCGGGACAGGGTGGATCATAGTGTAAGAGATCCGTCACGTCCACCATAAAGAAGGTGACGTCGTCCTATCGAATGAAGTGAGCGAACTGCCAAGGGTGACAGTGATAGAGGGGAATGGTGTGGGCACTGAAGGCTCCGGGGGAGGAGGTTCGGGGCGTAGTATCGCCGTGGTACCTATGAAAGGTACGCGATACGTCTGTCCACACTTCGTTTTGCGAACGAGAGTGTTGGTCGCCCAATCGGCCTGGGTGCTGCGGAACCGACGAGACCACGGAGTGCCGAGAATGAAGTCGTACCCCGTCTCCATCACATCGAAATGTGCAGAGGAGCGGTGACGACGAGACACGGGGGGACGATCAGTCGGCTCGAGAGTGAGGAAGAAGGGGAGGTCGGTGACCGTCTGATCGAAGAAGCGCTGGGTTTTGTAATCCCCTAGGGTAACGGAGATGGGAGTCGGAGACCCTATCGTGGGTAAGCGGGCTTCCTTCACCACGCGTGGGTGAATGAAGTCGCCTTGAGAACCGGAATCCCAAAGCGCTGAGTACACCCTCGTGGAGGTCCCGAGTCGTACTGGGATGATCGGGAGGGTGCTATCAGGGTCAGAGAGGATGGCGAGAAGGCGACGCAGTGCAGTGACATGGAGGGTGAGTCGCTCCTGACGAGCCTGGAGCATGCTCAAGTCCAGAAGAGAGGACACAACGTCCTCGCTAGTAGCAAGCTGCTCGCTGCAATGGGCTGAGCGAATGGCTCGACGCGTCGGTAGTCACGACGGGGAAGGAGGGGAGACGGTGGTCTGCGGAGCCGCAGACGGTACTGCAATAGAGGGTTGAGTACACTCTGTCGAGTCCCGCGATACCTCAACTTCAGTAGCGAGAGGGGCGAACCGCGACGGAGATGTCGGGAAACCCACTACTGAGGAGGGCGAAGGTGTACACTGCACCGTGGCTAGGAGGCGCCGCGGGGACGTGAGGCGTCGGGGGGGGACTGAGCACGACGCTGACGAGAAAGGTCAGCGTAGTGGCGGTCGAGGGCGGTAGTGTAAGGGCACCGCGAGGAGGTATGACCGTCCAAGCGGCAGCGCAAGCACCCACGCCGGCCCAGAATAGCCGCGCGCTCCTCAGCGGAAAGGACACCGTGAGGAGGGACGAAGCCCTGAGGGAGGTCCTCCTGAGGGACCTTGGGGGGCGACGCGCCAGCATGACCGGGGCGGCTGCTTGCCCGAGAGAGGGCGGAGAGCGCGAGCTAAAGGCGCTCAGCTGCAGGGAGGGTCGAGTCCTCCAAGTGATAGTGGACGGCCTCGCAGAGATCGAAGTCGTCGTTGTGGTCGCCCTTAGGTGACAGTGGGGCAACAACGTCCTGCTCACCATACTCCAGCGCACTGAAGCAGCGCGAGAAGTGGCGGCCCTGCTGCGTGGAACGGCGGGGGCGACCGCGGAAAGGGGAACGGCGCTGAAAAGTGTCGTGAGAGGAGGAGGAGGCGTAGCCCATGCGCTGGGGATGGGAGGAGGAGGCGGGTGAAGACGGGCTCGCATCCGCTGGTGGTCCCTTGTGGCCTCGTAAGCCTGTGGGGCCGATGTGAACTCGTACCGCCATAGCTCGGAGTGGTACTCGAGCGGAAGGCTGGCCAAGAAACGATCGATAAGGGCAGCCTTGGGGAGGAACGCCACGTCGCAAACGAGGCGGGCGTCCTGAAAGACCTGGATGTGGCGATCCAGGCCGGCAGCGCCACCAGAGCCGGACCAGCGTGTAGTGACGACACGCTCGAAGGCGTCAGTCACGTCGTATCGGGCTCCGAACCGATCCTCGAGGAACGCCTGGAAATCCACGAAGGTCGGAGTCCAACCCTCACGAAGGGAGTAGGCATAGAAGTCCTCCCAGGCCTCGAAAGGACCGCCACGCAGGCGCGTGGAGAGGTGACCCACCCACGTCTCGGGTGTGGCGCCCATGAGCTGGAGTGTGCGGGTGGCAGACTGCAGCCACCGAGACACGTATATGCCTGTACCGTCATACAAGGCAATGTCCGACAAGCGGATGAGTGGTGCACCACCGTTTTGGCGGCGAGGGGATCGAGGAGCGGAGGCCTGTGCCACGACTGAGTAAGTCGGCGCAGGTCCTGGAGAAAGCGGCGCAACTGACTGTGCGCCCGGGCCGCATGGGGGAGCGGCGGTGGCAACAGCGGCAAGCTGCGAGGGTGCTGTGGTAGAAGAGGTCGCAGCAACCGCGGGAGTAGGAAGAAGGTAGGAAGGAGTTGTATAGGGTGCAGGGCGCGGAAAGCGAGCCTGCATGGGAGGAAGCGTAGAGGAGGTAGGGGGTGCGCCCGAAGGCGCGACCACCTGTGAGGGTGGGGGTGGCTGAAGGCGTAAGAGGGCGAGGTCAGCCCGGAGCTGGGCAATCTCATCCGCGAGACCTCGAACGTAGGTCGATCGAGGGGTGGGAGGAGGAAGAGTGGAGGGGGTGGACGTACAATCGGCGCGGGGCATCCCAGAGGGGGGAGAGTCAGGTGGCGCTGCGGTCGTGACCGTGACCCAGTGCTTCGACCAGGGCCCTTCAGAGGCACCGCCCTTTCTCCTTCCAGATGCTTCCGGGAAGATTGTCGTCTCTCAAGGTAG